CATCACGAACTCTTTGTCTATCAACTTCTGATGAGAGACAGCCCTTACATTTTTCATACAAATCACCGAAACACAAAATACACAGCGGATCTGCAGGGTCAACGCATTCAGATGCACATTCAGCCACAGTAGCAGCACATTCTAACCACTGCAACGCGCTACAACCATTAACGTCGGTCAGCTCGCAATGTGCGTTGCAGCCACCATCACAATTACAGCAGAGCGCATCGCATTTGCCATTTCCACAGCAGAGAGGTCCTTTTCTCTTGCAGCACTTCGCTTCGAGACCGGCTACCAATCCCATTGCAATAACCAATGCAAGGAAAAATTGAATATTCATGATGGGTGCTTGGTTGACTTGTCTGAAATGAAAGAAAAGTTGTAAGTAGATAAGAAAAAGGTTTGTATTTTAAAGTTTATAATCCATGAACTTTTTCTATCACAAAGCGGACTTCTGAAATGGACCATCACGATCAACTACGTTGGATGCGAATGATATAGTTTGTGCATCGGGATTTGAGTAAGACACTAGGCTAAATATATACTGGAGGCATGGGCGGCGCTAGAAGGGTGTGGGGGTGGAACAACCCCAAATCCTCAGTTGGCAAATTCCCATTCGGCAAAACATGGATTGGATAGGAAGGAACGAAAATAAAATATTTGAGTAAAACGTCTGAAAACATAAAAGTGGAAAAAAAATTGGGAAAATTTAGGAAAACAACAAGGGAAAAATTTACGTGAAGCGGTTCGTGTATTGAAAACATCGATAAGAAGGAAAATATTATCAGACTTCTTTATTTACAGACTAAATTTAACTATATAATTCATAAATCTTCTCAAATTTGATAAAACACTTTTACAGAGTAGAATTGCTTACGTAAAATTCATTGCAGACCTATATATGATATGTTTTTGAAAGCTAACCTCTAAATGGCGCTGAAAGATCGCTCAAATTATAGCATAGAAGATGAACCACATTCCGAATATTAACATCTTGAAAACTCAAAATTCGAACTGTTTAATTAAACAAGATAAGAAAATTCAAGGTAATATTTCGACTTTATTTCAAAGTCATTGTCAAACAATTTACAAGCGTCCATGCTCAGATCTTCATACAGGTAGCATAACAGGAAGTTGACGTAATCAGCTGAGATGCGAGAGAATAGCAAGGGGACTACATTTACAACGACACTTATTAATTATGGAAAAACTGCCAGTTCTTTCGATGCCTTCAAACCGCTATTAAGTTATGACTTGTTAAAATGCAGTATCAGTTTTGTGTTGTTTTATATGACGGATCACAGTAGGAGGTTAAGGCCGTTTTCCACATCGCCTGCATCGTTCCGTAACGTACAGGTCAGCATGCGCAACTTGAAGTTGGGTTTTCAAATTTACGTACTTCCGGTTGATTCGCGTATCAAAATAAAAAGTTCGTCGCAAGTCAACTTTTTAGCGTACTACGAAGTATTAACCAATCAACATTCACTAAATTTTAAAATTTAAAATTTGTTTTGATCAGTTTCATAAAGTTACCGTCATCAACGTTGTCAAAACGCGTTTCGAAATTGCGCTTTTTACATAGTACTTAGCCTAGGCTATTTTATCTCTTACAACAATTGTGATATTACTTTCTTAACTGTGTTTATCCTAACCTACCCTGTCAACTTTCCCTGTGGGATGAAACTGGTGGTGTAATATTACCTTTGATTTTGTTATCTTGTTAAACAGCTCGTATCTTGAGTTCGTTTCATCTTATGATTGTGCGAAATATATATTGTCTGCTGGTAAACGATCATAGTATATAATTCAGCATATATTGACGCTATATTGTGGTGACCTTTTAGTCTAAGCGTATCAGTCCTTTCAAGGAAGGTATCATACCAAGACAGAGTATAGACGATTGCAATTTAAGGCGGTTTCCCACTAGGCGAAATTTTTCGATCGAACTGAAATTTCTATTGTTCAAATTCAAAAGATTGCTGTTTAGTTCCATCTCAGTGCTTGTAAAGACAAAATAAAATTTCGATTCGGTCGAAAAATTTCGCCTAGTGGAAAACCGTCTCTACGGGACTTCGGTGGCGTAGTCGTCAGAGGTAGCAAGCGCATTCCTGGGTTCGTGGGATCGTGGGTTCGATTCTCGCTACGTAATCATGTAGTTGATAGGGTGGATTGGGATAAACAAAGAAAGTTGACAGGATTGGTTGGGATAAACATAATTGAGAACGTAATATCACAATTGCTGTAAAAGAAAAAATAGTCTGGGTTAAGCAATTAGGTAAGTGTAATACTTGATGTAAATTTAGCGCATTAGATGATATCCACATGCATATAAATTTGCGCTATAGAAATGTCGATATTAATGTGGGTTTGCTAGTGCAAGTGTACGTATAGCATGTACACACTGTACTTTTAAGGCAGAAAGTTTAATAAATAGGAGTATGTTATTTCACTAACTCACCAACAAGTGTTTTTAGTATAGATCAACTCGTTCTTTAACTGCAATTGTCTCTTCTTTTGCTTCTCTCACGAACAGTCACCCCGTTGAACTGATTTTACATTCGAAACTACCTGTGTTTATATACCATATCAGTTGCAAACCAGTCAAAGTTGTGCGTGCCGCTACAGGACCCTTACAGGCTGCAACACAACAAACAATAGCCAAGGCACGAGGCATATAACTTTACACAAATCGACGTCGCCACTCGGTGCGTATAACTACCCTACTTAACTAGAAAATACATGCATGCAGAAACCCTCGCCTTGCTAACAAAACCGTTGTATTTTCCGAACATGAAGTATCTAAAGTAGTTGTTATGGTAACACGATAATTTTTTAAGAATATTCTTACAAATGAAAATCGCCTAAAAATATCACTTTTAATTACAAAATTATCAATTTCTCAACATATATATATGTTAGGTATGTAATTATACGTAATACAAGCTTCAATTTAAGGTAAAATTCAACCACAAACAATTCACAAAACGTTTTAAAGTGTTTTTTATAAAACTAAACTGCCTTTAACTATTAAATGGCTTTATCGATAAACTTTGAGTTTGCAATAAAATGATTTCAAATTCTCGCTTGCAAATAACTTTGCTTTATTTTTTATTTAAAAATTCAATATAATAAAAAAGGGAATCAATATTAAAGATACACTGAAATTATATGCTGTCTTGTATGTCTTGTTTAGTTGTTTGATATACGCAAAAGCCGTCGGGTTTTAAAGCCATTATAAAATCAATATTTAAAACAAACTTACCTTCGTTAACGTCGGCTCCGTTCTTTTAGCTGATCCTTTGGCCCTTTCATTCTTGAAATTTACAAAATCTTGCAGAAATACGAGCAAAAATGAAGAATATTTGCAAGAAATTTGACAAATTTATCAATCATCAACTCATCAAATCAAGAAATGTTTGCTATTTCGCTGTCGTTATGCAGTCGTTATAATGCAAACTTTAAATTGGACCAATCAGTGTCCGTTATTCATGACAGTCCGCCATATTTTTGAGATCAGTGAGGATGACCACCCATCGTTGGTGACCGACGCCCGCGCTCATTGATGAACTTTAGACTTCCCTAATGCTTTCGTTTCCCCGGGTGTATATAGCCGGGGGAATTAGTACCCTCGCACGGCGCTTCGCGCCGCCGGCTCGGGGATAATAATTATGAATATGTGCGTAGTTTATTGAAGTGAAATTCATCAGCTTAAGTACCGAAGGGGGTTAATTTTCAATGGTTCTCAACGTGAAAATATGCGATTCCGACTAGCATTTTTTATCGGACTTGTACTTGCTTATTTTTTATCCATTTGGCATGAACAGCTAAAAGCCTGATCGTTCCGAAGATGAAAAAATCTCGTTCATACGCATAGTCCCCGAGCCGACGGCGCGAAGCGCCGTGCGAGGGTACTAATTCCCCCCGGCTATTTACACCCGGGGAAGGGAAGCATTAGCGAAGTCTAAAGTTCATCAAATATCGCGGGCGTGGGTCACTGTGCGTGTTTCGGTGGGTGGTCATCCTCACTGATCTCATAATATAGCGGACTGTAATGAATAGCCAACACTGATTGGTCCAATTTAAAATTGGCATTATAACGGCTGCATGACGATTGACGACAGCGAAATTGATTTGATGATTTCTTGCAAATATATTTCATTTTTGCAAGATTTTGTAAATTGCAAAGGATTTTTGATGAAATAAAGGCAAGAGGATTGCTAAAAGAAGGAAGTAAAGGTGCCGGCGTTAACGAAGGTAAGTTTGTTTTAAATATTGATGCATTGTTTGCTTTTAATATACTGTAATCTCGATCGGCTGTAATTACTTTAAAAGCCGATCGTTGTGTATATAAAATATGAAACAAGACAGCGTATTATTTCAGTGTTTCTTTATTGATTACACGTTTTATTATACTAAGCAAAGTTATTTACATGGGAGAATTTGGAATCATTTTATTTCGAACTCAAAGTTTATCGATAAAGGCAGTTTAGTTCTATATTAAAAGAACACTTTCAAACGTTTTGCGAAGCGTTTGTCGTTGAATTTTACCTTAAATTGAAGCTTATATTACGTATAATAACATACCTACTATAATCACTTTAAAAGCCGATCGTTGTGTATAAATTGAAACAAGACAGCGTATTATTTCAGTGTTTCTTTATTGATTACACTTTTTATTACACTAAGCAAAGTTATTTGCATGGGAGAATTTGGAATCATTTTATTTCGAACTCAAAGTTTATCGATAAAGGCAGTTTTGTTCTATAGTAAAAGAACATTTTAAAACGTTTTGCGAAGCGTTTGTGGTTGAATTTTACCTTAAATTCAAGCTTATATTACATATAATAACATACCTAACATATATATGTTTAGCAAATTGATAATTTTGTAATTAAAAGTGATATTTATAGGGGATTTTTCATTTGTAAAAACATTCTTAAAAAATTATCGTGTAACCATGACAACTACTTAAAATACTTCACGTTCGGAAAATAAAATGGTTTTGTCAGCAAGGCGAGGGTTTCTGCATGAATGTATTTTCTAGTATAGTGACTATTTATTACAAGAACAGAATTGTGGCTACGGAACCTGTTTTTGTTTTCACTTCCAGGAATCAATGCCGGGAATTACATATGGCATTTTAAATTCTGTAGGAAAACTAGGGTCGCACTGCTTAAGACTCTTACTATACTGCACTTAGAACTTAAGTCTGCGCTTATGTTGGCCAAGTTAGTAGATTCAGTTAAGAAAGCTCTCACCTCACAAGTTAAGGGTTTGGAAACTAGGTATTGGCTAGACAGTATTACTGCTTTGCATTGGATCCAAAACCATGGAGAATGGAAGCAGTTTGTATGCCATAGAGTAAATCAAATTTTAGCATTGACGAACAAGGGTGATTGGAGCCATTGCCCGGGTGTGGGAAAACCCTGCAGATTTGGGAAGTAGAGGAATATTGGCATCTAAATTACAGGAAAACCCTCTCTGGTGGGATGGCCCTGAATGGTTAAGTAGTGTACATAGAGCATGCCCAAATTCTAAAATTTATTCAACAGAAAAGAGTAGGGAGGAAGAGAATAAAGCCACAGCGTTAGTTGCAAATGTACACAAAGTTGTATGTATAGATAAAGTGATATCTATACTAATTCCCCCCCCCCCTACCCCGGGCTATTTACACCCGGGGAAACGAAAGCATTAGCGGAGTCTAAAGTTCATCAAATATCGCGGGTGTGGGTCACCAACGGTGTTGAGTGGGTGGTCATCCTCACTGATCTCAAAAATATGGCAGACTGTGACGAATAGCGGACACTGATTGGTCCAATTTAAAGTTTGCATTATAACGACTGCATGACGACAGCGAAATAGCAAACATTTCTTGAGTTGATTTGATGATTGATAAATTTTTTGCAAATATATTTCATTTTTGCTCGCATTTTTGCAAGATTTTGTAAATTTCAAAAGCTCTCTGAGAAAGGAACTGCGAAAGCATCAGCTAAAAGAAGGGAGCCGACGCTAACGAAGGTAAGTTTGTTTTAAATATTGATTTTATAATGGATTTAAAACCAGACGGCCTTTGCGTATATGAAACAACTAAACAAGACAGCATATAATTTCAGTGTATCTTTAATATTGATTCCCTTTTTTATGATATTGAATTTTTTAAATAAATAAGAAAGCAAAGTTATTTGCAAGCGAGAATTTTAAATCATTTTATTGCAAACTCAAAGTTATCGATAAAGCCATTTTAAAAGGCAGTTTAGTTTTATATTAAAGAACACTAATGACTTTAAAACGCTTTGCGAAGCATTTGTGGATGAATTTTACCTTAAATCGAGGCTTATATTACGTATAACATACCTAACATATATATGTTGGGAAATTAATAATTTTGTGATTAAAAGTGATATTTATAGGCGATTTTTCATTTGTAAGAATATTCTTAAAAATGTGTTCCATGTTACCATGACAACTTAGATACTTCATGTTCGGAAAATACAATGGTTTTGTCAGCAAGGCGAGGGTTTCTGCATGCATGTATTTTCTAGTATTGTTACTAACACACCAGAGAAAATTTCTGATTCTGGTGTCATTCACACAGATATAAGCTCTGGTGTCATTCACACAGATATCTATTATCATTTAGGCATGTATACTTAATACTTGTATTTAATATGTTGTAAATAGGTAATATTGTATATTCATAGTTTTAAAACTCACTTTAAACATTAACAACAGTCTTTCCACATTTATCTGGGATTGTCCCAATCTTCTTTCTATTCAACTTCCTCCATCACCCTGATATCACTTATCACGACATAACTTAATTCGGTGGGTGAAGAAGAATCCGATTAAAAAACTTTCAATATCTGATAGCTCCATTACAGAAGACTTCAAAGTCAACTATAAATTTCCCCACCACATTTTCCCGCTAAATATAGCATGCATGGATTATATACTCATTCTGATGATTTAATGGAAAAAAATTAAAAAATGAAAAATAGTTTTTGTCAAAAGTAGACTGATTCTCATATTTCAAAATCGTAAAAAAATTATGACGCTAAGGCATTCTGCAGATTAAACATGCAGGGATTATGTACTCATTCTGATAATTAAAAAATTGAAAATGGAAAAAATAAATTCATTTTTCCTTTTTTTAAAAAAATGAAAAGTGGTTTTTGTCAAAATAAACTGATTTTCATATTTCAAAAATATCCACAGATTAGACCCATGGATTAGACCCACAGAATAGAGACATGCCTTGAAACCTGGAATATTAATTTCTTTATCAGACCATGTTTCAGTTAAGAACATGAAGTCTGTTTTGATAATATTATCAGTAATGTATCGATCAATTTGACTGAAATTTGACTGATCAAATTCTCCACCCCCTGTGCAAAAATGTCTTCAAAAATGCCCCAGTGTAACAAGAAATTAAGCGTTCAAATGCCCCACCTTCATATGAAAATTATGAAACAGTAAATACAAAAAGTACAAAATATACGGAAATGTTTTTCGGCAAGATAGCGAAATTCACTTAAAAAGTTTGGAAACCTTATGGAAATTTAACAGTTTTACACAATTTTGTAGTACATTCCTTCATATGAAGTACATAGCTTTTACATGCCCATTTCTTTCAGCCAGTTTTTCACAAAATTGAGGCAGTTTCCCTTGAAATCTGAGAAAACTGCATTTGCTGCCAATGCCAAGTCTTTTCTGTGCATGCAGAAAGCACACAAAAACGGGCAAAATTTAACGACTTCCAGGGTCAAATTCCCCACCCTTACAAAACCAAATTATATGGGACATATATGGACCAACTATGGGATTGATATGGTTCAACCTATGGGCCATATATGGGAGGTATATGGCTTTGGTATGGCCTGGTTGCCTTCATAGCATACCCATATCATGTTATTGATATGGGTTTGATACGTCATACGTATTTGGTACAAATCCATACATATCCCATATGACTTACTATGGGAAATACATGGGTTCCTTATCATTTCATAACAACTTTGCTATGGGTATTAAAGATAGGATTCTATTGGAAAAAAAATATTTTTAGAGGTCTTGGATAAGCATGCTCCACTTCAACACAAAAAAATCAGATAAAAAAAAGTCTCTTGGATTACAAGTGACATAAAGAAGCTTATATGTGCAAGAGACAAGTTAATAAAACGAAAAGCCATTTTAACAAACCTAGAAAATGATTGGTTAAATTATAAAACAACTAGAAATAAAGTAAATATAGAATTAATGAATGCCAAGAAAGATTACTATTCCTCGAAAATAGCTGGTCAAAAATTCGATCCCAGGGCCGTAGCAACCGGGGGGCTGCAGCCCCCCCCCCCCCAATAATTTGCTAATAATCATTCTTTTTCAAAATCATGCAAACTTTATCATTTAATCTGTGACAAACTGCAAAGAATGAAGATATTACTCATACTCCAGATCGTTCCTCGCGTAGAAATTTTAGCTGAATTTCTGTCGCGCATTTTCAAGAAAATCCCACAAAATCTGCACATTTTTGATGAACTAATGATTTATTTTGTCTTTTGCGTGTTGGGTCTTGCGAAAGAAAACTCTGAAAATGCCATTTCAGACCATCTAGAGACTCCAGATTTTCGAAATTTTCTCAAATGTTCTGCCTTCATTTCCGCGCAACTGCCATTTACGACGAAAATTCCCGCCGCGCATTTATAATACTACAGTCTGGCTCATACTTTCCTGTAAATTTCGACATACTAAAACGCTGTTTTCTGACTATAAATTCTGTTAAATCTTCCCCCAAAGTCCAGGAAATGGCATTTTAGAGACTCTAAATTTAAAAATTTCCTCGGGCCTTTGGCCCTCGCTTTCAGCCCCCCCCCCAATCGAAAAGAGCTTCCTACGGCCCTGGATCCTAAAAGAGCTTGGAAAAGTATTAACAACTTATTAGGTAGGCAAAACCAACAGTGGTAAATGAACTAATTCTAGATCAAAACAATTTAACAAGTCCCAAAGATATTGCGAAGGGATTTAATGATTATTTTTCAAACATCAGCCCTAATTTACCCAGCAAAATCGACTCTTCAAATTACAATTTTGAAACGTATGTTAAAAATGGTAAATCAGAATTTGCTGCATTCCAACCTGTTACTAAATGTTACTATAGGAATTGAAAATGGTGAAAAAAATTCCTATAGCAAATGAAAATTCCTATATGAATTCCTACAGGATTTGAAAATTCCTATAGGAATTCCTATAAGATTTGAAAATTCCTATAAGAATTCATATAAGATTTGAAAATGGTGAAAAAAATTCCTATAGGAAAAAAAATTCCTATAGGAATTCTTACAGGATTGGAAAATGGTGGAAAAAATTCATAGGCTATACCAATATGGCCTGATACATGCATAGGTATAAGAACTTTACTTATATAAAAATACAGAAAATATAATTTACGAAATAACTCATTCTTCCTATAGGAATTTCTATTTCTTATAGAAATTACTCAGAGTAACATCACAAACATCATTTTCAAATCCTATAGGAATTCTTATAGGAATTTTAATTTATTATACAATTACACTATTCCTATATCGCATTATATAGACATTTATTAATAAGAGAATTTAATACTGGGACTATTTATTTTCTAAGATTAAATGATAATTACCGCAATGTGCGCGACTGACAGACTGGTGTCTAGTTTTCTTGCTACGCGCGCAAAGCATCAAGGTATAGATCATCACACCTCTGATATTTTTCAAATTTTTTATATTTTTGAGTTTGTGAATGTTTATGTTCAAAAATATAACTATTTTTGATGAGATTCAACTGGATTTTCAGTAGTAATACATCAGCAATGTTTGCATAATGTTCAGGGAAGAATAAGTTTATATTTTGTTTATAATAAAGCAAATTATAAAGGAAATACCTCCAATCTTCATTTGTGAGATTTGCAGGGCTGCCAACTCTCCCGGATTATCCGGGAGTCTCAAGATTTTGGACCTAATCTCCCAGTCTCCAGATTTTGCCTTAATTCTCCCGGATTAGGATAATCACCAACGTCGATTTATGCACTAGCCATTTGATTCTTCGTTGTCAAAGGTTTTAACAATAAAAATTATTTGCGTTGCACATTCGTTTTGCTGGTAAAAATAAAATTCTTTCGTTGCTGCCTGCGTTGCTTTTAATCAGCGGTTGAATGGCGCTATTTTCCGTAAACACTTCATCTTACAGGGATTTTTTTACCCGTATTGACGCCATTAAAATGTCGATATTTTATTAAACTAGTACATAATATTGTGAAAGTTGAAATCAACAGTTATTCAGGCAATTTATAGTATATATAGGACTTTTTGTATGTCCAAAAAAAATTTTCACCCCTAAAATGGTACACTGACCGAAATTTTTTTGGCAACAGGGGGGGTCGC